CAACTTTTTTACTTTTTCCATTTTGTTTCTTTCCCATTTTTTGCAATGTAGTTTTATTGGAGGCCATTTTTTTCTGCAGACTTGAAGAGTTCACCGCCTCGGACGCTCGGTCGCGGGTCCGCAGTCTCGGCCTGCGCGCCTGCAGCTCCACTCGCACCGGAGCGCAGGGGGCCGAGGCGCAGCGCGGGCGGGGGCGGGGGGAGGACCTAGATGAAACTCTTGTACTGGATCACCTTCCAGAATGTCTGACAAGCTCCATGAGAAGCAAAGAAACTGTCCCAGGCAGAGCAGAGCGTGCTCCCAGCACTGTAGCCAATATGTAGTCTCCGCCTGGAAAAATCCATGCAAATATTTTTGGGGTATTTCACAAACAGCACGGGATATTAGGGGAAGGATATGAGGAAGAGACTGTGAAATTATCCTATCTTTTAGAGCTGATGTTTATTTTAGGTTCTTAAGATTGCCTTATGAATATCTTTTTTTTTTTTTTTTTTTGGTGCAGGGTTTCAGTCCACAGTTTGGACTTATAGTGATCCTCTTCATTTCTGCGTCCCTAGTGCTGGTATTACAGGCATGCGCCACCACACCGGGACTCCATCGCCGGCTCAGTGCATCCAGGGTAGGGCCAGTGTGGTGTGCGGTGCCAGGGATTAAACTCTGGCCCTGCACTCACCTAAGCAAGTGCTATAAATATCATTTTTAAGGACCAGGGAGATAGCTCAGCGGTCTAAACTCCTGCTTAGGCAAGCTTAGGCAGGCGCAGGTGACCGTGGTTTGCCTCCTGGTACCACATATCATGCCAGACTTTCCCTTAGGGCAGACTGAGCAAGCCCTCCTCCCCCCAAAAAATAATTTTTAAATTTCTGTATAACATTCCTTTGGAAAATTTATTTGGTGTTTTCAAGTTTTTACCATTACACATATTCCACTAAAGAGCTCCATCGTATGATTTTAACTAGATTTCTGATTAATTCATTGTGTAATAAATGTGACAATGTTATAAACAATCCTTTTATACATGGACTTTATGCTTTAGTAAGATTGAACTTTACATGTTTTCAGGGGTCATTCTAAATTATTTTCTGAAATACTGCAACTATTTATGCATATTTTCATTCATAATATTATATTGGAAATTATCCTTATACTACTATATATTTTCAATCTATGAACTTCATTCCAATTCTTCCCCCACTCCCTGGAGGCTGAGGGTGCACATTATATCTTCAGTTCTTTTTCCATGTTGATTTTGATACAGGGTCTTGGTACTGTCTCACACCTGGCCTGAAACTTCCTGTTTCAGCCTCCCAAAGTACTGGGAACATGAGCCATCACACTTTGCAAAAATCCCACATTTTTAGTTTCTATCCCTTTTAACTTTCTGACCATTTATCTTACCATGGAATTATATATCCTTACTCATCTTGGGATCTCTGTCATGGTATTTTAAACAGAAATGACTTTTCACCTTAGGGGCTATTTCTCCTCCCTTTAATTTACTTCTCCCTTTCTAGGTATGGTTTGGACTCTGCAACACTGATCTGAAAGGAAGAACAGGCAGTGGAGTTTTCCTGCCAGAGGGGAGGCCCCCGCAGGCCCCAGCACAGGGAAGTTCTCAAAGGCAAGAGGGAGTCACTTGCCCCAGAGTGCCTATTGGAGGGGCCAGGCCGCTGAGACACGGTTGCCATTTTCTGCGTTTTCCTGACCCCTAGTGGTGGCACCCTGACTTTATGCACTACGTTTGCGGGGACCTAAAAGCTAGGGTATTTCCCTCCTCAGTTCTTCCAACAGTTTTTTTGTGCTCTATTAAAACTACTTGGCCAGGTAAATGGCTCAGTAGAACAAGTGTTTCCCTGGCAAGTGCAAGGGTCTGAGTTCAATCCCCAGTTCTGCCAAATAAATAAATAAATTTTAAAAAAACACTACTTCTTTTTAAAATTAATCTTATTGAGAAACAAATAGAAATGAGACAGTTTCAAAACCAATTTGTAGGACAGTTTCAATAATTAATACGTTGCATATTATTGTCTTTTAGTGGTTATTCATTGTACAAGATGCAGACATGATATCCTGTCCAAACACTATTAGTACAAATCTTTCTTCTCATTGAATTCAAAGAAAGTAGCTGTATATCTATCCTAAGTATTTTGTATATACAGATATAAAACCATTTCAATTTGAATTACCTAGAAGGTTTCTGTATTTAGAAACAAATCAGCTCCTTACTCCACCCCTCACACCTGGGGTTTAAAATAGGACACTTCTTGCATGATAGTGAGTAGTGACAGCTTTTTCTGCTCTTTATTCTTTAAAAATAGCTTTATTAATGTAAGGGTAAACATATTATAAAATTAAACTATTAAAGGTATATTGACTCAATGATGTTAGTATAGACAGTTCTCCATTCATCACTGTATTCAAGTCTAGATGTTTTATTACCACCCCCTTGACCTCATACAATTTACATCACTCTATTTCTCCCAGACTTCAGTTCTAGGCCACCTTTTTTCTGTTTATCTTGACATTTCACAAAAATAAAATTATGTAATATATGGTCTGTTGAGGCTGGTTCTTTTGTTTGCCATAATGTTTTGAAGATTCATCCATACTGAAATAAGTATTGTTGCTTTGTAGAGCTTAGTGACTAATACTCTGCTGTGTGTATGTTCATCTTGAGAATCCATCAACTCACAAATATTTTGGTTGTTTCCACTTTTCAGCTGATACAAAAAATTCTGCTGTGAACATTCATGTAAAAGTTATTGTATAGATACATGTTTTCAGTTTGTGTGCATGTGTGTGTGTGTGTAAGTGTGCACACAAGTAGAGTTTGTGGATCATATGGTAGCTGCTGAATTGCTACAGGAACTGCCAAATTATTTCCCGATCCATTACACCTTTTATATTCTAATGACCAGTGAATGAGGGTTCCAGTTTCTCCAAATCTTTGCCAGTGTATATCTGGATATTTTTTGAATTTTTTATTATATTATATTTTATTTTATTTTTCCATAATTTTATTGAGAAACAAATAGCAATGAGACAGTTTCAAATCAAATTGGTAGGAGAGTTTCAATAATTAACACATTGCATAATTCTTCCTCGTGGTTAATTGCTGTACAAGATGCAAACATGATATCCTACTTATTTATGTATTTATTTATTCTATTTGGTGGAACAGGGGATTGAACTCAGGCCTTTGCGCTTGCCAGGGAAGCACTTATTCCACTGAGCCATCTTCCCGGCCCCATGATATCCTATTTATAAACACCATTAGAACAAATTCCTTTATTCATTAAGGGAATGTAACTATATATCTATGCTAAACACTTTGAATACACGGATACAAAATGGACATTCATCTGTATACCCTTTTTTTTAAGTTCCACTATTTGAATATTATAGGAGTGTAAACTTAGCAAAATATTCTAACAGAGTTCAGTAGCCCATAATAGTATTAGGTTTTCCCCTTGACTGGCAATGTCAGAAATTGTTGACCTGAGTCCCCTACAGCTCAGCATAACAGCATGGCTCTAATTGTTATCTTTTGTTTGTATACTTTTCTGCTGGATGGTTAAGACCAAGGGAAACAGGACCTATGTAACAAGAGTTGTAGCTTTTGGGTCTGAGAAGGTCAGTGAAATCCCCTCAGGATTTATCCTGAGATCCTGTGCCTCATATTGTAGAGCAATTGTCAGTATCAGCCATGTGAATGAGTGAAGGCCATTGCTTGGCCAATGTGCTCTCTGTGAAAGCCTGAGGGAATGTTTTCTCTCCATGTGACTCTCCTTAGGCACACTCTACATCATCCATCACTTTCCTCTTTGGCCCCATAATCTCCTTGATCAGAAAATTTGGGACACTACTGAGTTACATGATGTTACAGAACAAGTTCTCATATGTCCTGAGTCTTAATTGACCTTGGTAGGCTAGGGCCAAAATGTTGGCTTTCCTTGCAGCCCTCCTTTTTCTCTAATTTTGGTCTGCAAACTTAGGTTGTTAACCATCCAGAAGACAAGCTTATTCTTATTATTATACAACCTAGGCTGTTAAGCTTAACCTCACTATCTATCTGAATATCAAACATCTTAGGCATAACATGGAACAGGTATTTTTCACCAAGTATTGATATGTCGAACTTTAAGTCCCTACAGAATATGATGAAAAAAGCTTAAAAATTAGAATATAGATATCAGACCGGACGAGGCGGTGTCGGACAGCGCGGCTGTCAGCACTTGGCCGGCCCCTCGGCTATGGCAGTATTCTACGACGAGGTGGAGATCGAGGACTTTCAGTATGACGAGGACTCGGAGACGTATTTCTACCCCTGCCTGTGTGGGGATAACTTCTCCATCACCAGGGAAGATTTGGAGAACAGAGAAGACGTGGCAACGTGTCCTAGCTGCTCTCTTGTTATAAAAGTGATTTATGACAAGGATCAGTTCATGTGTGGAGAAACAGTCCTAGCCCCTTCAAGCAACAAAGAACTGGTTAAATGCTGAAGAAGCCTTCAGAAATTCAAATCCAGAGTAACTGGATGGAAATTGCAAGTGAAAAGGCCCTGGCTTTCCAGTGACGAGTGCTTTATGATGTGCTGTTCTGTTGGAGTGTCGATCTATTCATCAACTGCTGTGTTTGTCTTCAGAAAGAGAAGGAAGGGCCTGGGGAGATAGCTCAGTAGCATGAGTGCCTGCCTGGCAAGTGCAAGGTCCCATGTTTGATCCCCAGTACTGGAAAAAAAAATCTACCAGAAAAGAGAAGCAAGCCCATAACTTCATCTGGATTTCATGCTTAGAACTTTTAAATTGTTAATTACCCATCTGAACTTAAAGGTAATTTTAGTCAGTGCTTTCTTTCTGTTACTGTCATCATTTTTTATATCCTAAACCTAGTTCAGTATCTGATTACAGCATCATCTACCTCATTTGTTAGAATTCCTTATTAAAAAGAGATTT